TCATGATATTATAATATGTTGCACAAGATATTGTAACATTCACTAAAGCAGTATTCAATCTAATTGCACTGGTAGATGCAGTTTTTGACGGGCTTCAATTTGGTATAAATCGTTTTTTATTTTATGTCTTTTAGGTCGTGTATGGGGGGAGAAAAAGGTTATGTTACACCGTGTATATATGAGATTGTAGTGCGGGAAATACTCTATCGAATGGTATATGTATCGTCGTGGATAGTGCAAAAGTGTGAATCACAGGATCGTCACTGTTGAATAAATCAAACACTTGCTACGTCTTTGCATAAAGTATTTCTAACGTCAAGGCGCCCTAGGACACTTTTTTCGCTACTTTGTATATATGAAATTGTAGCGCGAGTAAAACTCTATCGAATGGTATATGTATCTTCGTGGCTACTGGTCAAGCGCCGACCACAGGATGGTCACCGTTGAAAGACACCGTCGTTGCCTTTAGCTCTTACGCTATTGCAATTCTCCTTATCGGTTCTCCTTGTAAGGAATCTACCGGACAAGAGAAATTTTTCCTGGGGCGAATCTAACTGGATTCTCTCGACGCTATTCGCTCCCATTTGGGGCTAATCAAAGCTATAAATTTTCTTGGAACTGAATCAAATCAAACTGGGCTTTAAAAAAATTTAGAATGTGTATTTCTTGTTTTTTCTTGTGAGGAAACTGATAATGCTTCAATATGCAGGAAGGAATAGTTCGGATCTTCTGCTTGAAATAAAACTAGAAAATGTGCCAGTATTCATAGTTAATTTGTGCTGTCTTTACTGGCACGATTGAACCCCTTCCTCTACTGGCAATGAAAGAAACTGAAACATACGGATAAGCTGTTGTGAAGTTTTATTTTGCTGCAGCCTAAAGCTGATGCTTTTAGACCAGCAAATTTTTTAATAAAGAAAAACATATGAACTGAAAGAATGAAACTTAAAAGAAGTATGAATTGAGCTCTGGAAAAACAATAAAACAAGATTATCAGGCGTGAGTGCTTGTTCATTTCTGTAATAGTGTAATAACAGATTCTGTCTTGTGAACACATCCGGGAAGAAAACTAAATCTTTCTCTTCTATCTTGCACAAAAGATTCTGTCGTCTAAACAAAACAGAAAACGTATCCTAAGACAGAGCCGTTCATTTGTTGGTACTTTCGTCGAATAGATAATATTGCTTGTAATCTATTTTACTTACCTTTTTGTGTTTTAGATTACTATCGTAGCGAATCGTCATTTATTTCATTAGACAGCTTTACAACTCCATACAAAAGGTGATAAGCGAAAATTATTTTCATTCTTCTACCTTTATACGTCTACAACATCGGCAGTAGCAAGCAAGTAAATTTATCAGATTATTGGGAACAAACACGATCGATATTTCGTTCAAACAATATGTAATTAGATTGGCATTATATTGAGTTAGAGATAAGTGAGAACGAAGAAATGTCCTCACTCCAATAAAAAGACGATGTTCAGTAAAATGCTTGTCTCAAGTCGGACTTGTTCTTTGCGTGCAATGACTAAAAGTCTTCCAGTTTCACTCATATGCATGAACATAAAGAAGTCTTCCTACCTGCGAACATTTCTACCTCCTAGTGCAAATCGTAGGATTACAACTGCACATATCAGGAATGCAGTCTATTTTTTCTTTTTGACATGAACAATAGGGGTGGCACTTTACTAGTAACTGCGCGTTACTTTACCAGGAAAGTAACGAGTAACTTATGGCGTTACTTAGTTATTAGTAACGAGTAATTAATGTCTTTACTTCATTGCTTTGTTACTTTCGTTACTAATAACTAAGTAACTAAGTTCGTTACTAGTTACAAGTAAGGTAAAGGTAAACTGCCATCCCTAATGAACAACGCGAACAATCTCCCTTTTCACACACACACTCTCGTAATTCCGCTATATTTTTCGGCCATGTCGGAATAAATGTCCACTGCATCGATTAGCGCCCACTGGTACGTCAACAACTGTCTCTCTCAGGTCCTTGATGTTGTCTGACAAAGACGAGAGAACATAGGACTCCGTGGGCCGATTTTGTATGATGAAAATGCACGACATCATCGGATTCGGATAACGGCTCAAGTTCTGGTCGAAAGTCAAGCTGATCCCACCAAAATCCCCCGTACTCACCAGATCTGAGTCCCTGCGACTTCTGGGTCTTGCCGAGACTGAAAAATCAGCTACGAAGGATTCGTTTCAACAACGACGATGAGATGCTCGGGGCCTTGGATAGTGCGAGCGGGAGCCTGTCCAAAGAAGACTCTCAAAATCAGCTACGAGGCATTCGTTTCAACAACGACTATGAGACGATGGTGGTGATATTACACTATGCAGGAAAGTTCGGAGCTTCTGTTTGAAATAAAACTAGAAAATGTGCCCGTATTCATAGTTAATTTGTGCTGTCTTTACTGGCACGATTGAACCCCTTCCTCTACTGGCAATGAAAGAAACTGAAACATACGGATAAGCTGTTGTGAAGTTTTATTTTGCTGCAGCCTAAAGCTGATGCTTTTAGACCAGCAAATTTTTTAATAAAGAAAAACATATGAACTGAAAGAATGAAACTTAAAAGAAGTATGAATTGAGCTCTGGAAAAACAATAAAACAAGATTATCAGGCGTGAGTGCTTGTTCATTTCTGTAATAGTGTAATAACAGATTCTGTCTTGTGAACACATCCGGGAAGAAAACTAAATCTTTCTCTTCTATCTTGCACAAAAGATTCTGTCGTCTAAACAAAACAGAAAACGTATCCTAAGACAGAGCCGTTCATTTGTTGGTACTTTCGTCGAATAGATAATATTGCTTGTAATCTATTTTACTTACCTTTTTGTGTTTTAGATTACTATCGTAGCGAATCGTCATTTATTTCATTAGACAGCTTTACAACTCCATACAAAAGGTGATAAGCGAAAATTATTTTCATTCTTCTACCTTTATACGTCTACAACATCGGCAGTAGCAAGCAAGTAAATTTATCAGATTATTGGGAACAAACACGATCGATATTTCGTTCAAACAATATGTAATTAGATTGGCATTATATTGAGTTAGAGATAAGTGAGAACGAAGAAATGTCCTCACTCCAATAAAAAGACGATGTTCAGTAAAATGCTTGTCTCAAGTCGGACTTGTTCTTTGCGTGCAATGACTAAAAGTCTTCCAGTTTCACTCATATGCATGAACATAAAGAAGTCTTCCTACCTGCGAACATTTCTACCTCCTAGTGCAAATCGTAGGATTACAACTGCACATATCAGGAATGCAGTCTATTTTTTCTTTTTGACATGAACAATAGGGGTGGCACTTTACTAGTAACTGCGCGTTACTTTACCAGGAAAGTAACGAGTAACTTATGGCGTTACTTAGTTATTAGTAACGAGTAATTAATGTCTTTACTTCATTGCTTTGTTACTTTCGTTACTAATAACTAAGTAACTAAGTTCGTTACTAGTTACAAGTAAGGTAAAGGTAAACTGCCATCCCTAATGAACAACGCGAACAATCTCCCTTTTCACACACACACTCTCGTAATTCCGCTATATTTTTCGGCCATGTCGGAATAAATGTCCACTGCATCGATTAGCGCCCACTGGTACGTCAACAACTGTCTCTCTCAGGTCCTTGATGTTGTCTGACAAAGACGAGAGAACATAGGACTCCGTGGGCCGATTTTGTATGATGAAAATGCACGACATCATCGGATTCGGATAACGGCTCAAGTTCTGGTCGAAAGTCAAGCTGATCCCACCAAAATCCCCCGTACTCACCAGATCTGAGTCCCTGCGACTTCTGGGTCTTGCCGAGACTGAAAAATCAGCTACGAAGGATTCGTTTCAACAACGACGATGAGATGCTCGGGGTCTTGGATAGTGCGAGCGGGAGCCTGTCCAAAGAAGACTTTCAAAACGGTTTTAATGATTGGTTTTCCCGAATTCACAAGTCCATTGACGTAGAGGGGAAACACTTTGAAAAAATTAATTAATACCAGGATTTCAATATCTTCTGTAAGGGCTGACGAAAAAACTTATGTAGTGCCCGATGTAATCAACTCGCCGAGCTCATTCACCGTGTGTATTACTTTTGGCAACTTGGAGTCAAATTTTTCTTAGGACGATCGGTGGTCTTAACGGTCGCTCTCCTTTCCACTCATAATCGAAGGTTACTCGACTTCGAAGACGGGTGAATGATTTTTGGTAGTCGATTCAAGTACATCGCACAGCATCTCGGCTACTTCACATTCATGATTTGCGACAGCACTGGTGATGGTCGAAGTGTTCGATAAAGTGGAAGACAATAAGTTCGGTACTCGATCGGCGAAAATCTTTCCGCTATTTGCTGGATTGAGCATCTCAACGTAGGGACCAGCAAAACTGATATCAACTGCTTGTTTGTATCTCCCTTCTATCTCACTTGCATATTGTATACAATCGAATGAAAAGTAAAACGGCGGCATACTAAGTCACTCCTTTCGAAAAAATAATTCATCATGTTCGTTGACTACTGTGACTTCCATATGAACAAGTGCTTTCGAATATTCAGGTATCCTTCGCTTGTCTTGTACCTTTTTGATTTTAAATATACCTGACGATCCCTATTCGAGGAATACGCGAAACGCGTCTTTTGGAGCTTTGCATCTATTTTATGAAAACTCACCCTCACCTTTCTTCCACATGCGCCTTTGGAACTTCCTCCATGTCCTGACAACTGTTTAAAGAAATGAGAACGACTCATCCGTCTATGCATCATGATAAAGAGAAAATACGAAAGAATCGGCATTCAAAGCCTATAATTTCATGCAGTCCAAATGACTTTCTTTATTTCAAAGAAAAATTGTTTGAAAAGTGCTGAATTATTCTTGCGAAATATTTTATCAATAGGAAGTCACTTACGAACATTATCGTTACACAAACAAAGATTTTGATGAGCATGATAATAACCATTCGCACCAATAGCATGAAAATGAAGACCAAGATCAATATCATCACCATCGATAACACAAAGATGATAAAAACATGTTGCATCAATACGCTTTTTGAAACGCTGGGAAATATTATTATGGCGATAACGTTCCCAATCACTCTTGGACCATTTCTTCCAATTTTGGAGCCATGCCAAACTTGCTAAATCTCCTGTATAATACCAATCACGGCATTGGCCGCATCGGGCGCAACGACGACCACTACAGGGTTCCAATCCCGTATTAACTGGATCAAAATTTTTTATTGCTTGCAGACCTAATAAAGATACATCAGTGAAACGATGTCGAAAAACTGAGTATTGTAACCTAGTTTTCATAGAGGAGTACTGATAATTCTTCAGCAGAAATTTTTAAAAAGAGGATGCGAAGTTGCTTCACTCACATCCGCACCCCACAGCTTACGCTAGAGAAATAAGGTGCATGTGTCCATAGCCACTAATTGGCACGAGCATCTTGTGTCGTTCTTCAGCCATGTCTGAGGAGCGCTGAAGGTATAGATGAATGACTACTTTACCTGAGGCCATCTTGAATAGCGAAGGAGTTTAAACAACCGTAGGAGAATTGAAAGGGCCTGAAAAGCCAAATGAAGAAAGCAATTACTATGATCGCCGCTAAAATATGATCTATTCCGATTTCCCTTGAACGACCCGAAAACGCAATGTCCCAGCCGTCGAATATTTTCACTCATCAATGAATCAAAGAGTAGTCACCCAATTATGACACTCTAATTTTAAAAACACCTTACTTTAACGGTTGAAGTTAAAGTATCACACTTTAACGGTTGAAGTTAAAGTATCACACTTTAACACTTAAAAAATCGAAGTTAAGCCAGATATATTAAAGATATCCCTGGTAATCAATTCGATGCGCTCTATTAGTTTCCAGGAAATTGATTTCCTGTAAAGATATAGGCAACAGATTTAAAATGGGCATAATGGCCGTAATAGACTTCACGGACATAACCGACACAATCAGCATAATAACCGTGTTGACGCAGACTGCCGCAGTGCATACAAAGTGGACCTCATCTGTAATTAAGTAAAAGCTCTCTGTGTACGTAGAGGCACCCTCATCGTCACTCAGAGACAAACGACTTCCGTGTACACAGAGCACTCCACCATACTATTATGCGCATTACATTCTTGGTTAAATCCTGGAAAAACTGTTTGCAGGTTCCAGAAATAAATACAGTGACAGAAAATCAATTGGGTGTCCGAAAACCTATTCAATTTCGTAGAGACTTATATATTGCATGATATGGCATGAACTTCGTACACCATTCGAGTTTTCCTAATTCTACTTAGCAGGGATGGTCCTCAAGTATGACGCATCATTTAAAATCAAAATTATACCGGTTTGTAGAGCTCAACGAGCTGTTTTCTAATGGCATAAAGGGTTCTTCCCGATGATGCTTTCAACTAGACAAAATCAATCAATTTTACTTGTGAGACCTCACATTCTAGATAATGAAATTTTTGCACATTGCCGAAATATACAGAACGGCGCTCTCTCAAAATTAGTCATGTTTTTGAACGCCGTAGTGGAAGTACTCATACGATGAGTACGACTTTACTCATAATTCGTCCATGAGTACTCATATTGGTACTACTAACAATTTCTGAGTATTGTTACTCAGTGAGTACTCAGTTACTCATGTGAGTACTC